TCCTGAATCAAGATTCAGTATTTATATTATTGTCATATGTATGTATAATTACATATTATATATGTATTATTCAAACATTGCTCACAGCTGAGTTCCCTCATACAACATGATTACATTTTCTTTTTTGCAAGACTCTTTGTTTTTCCCAGAGCTAATAATCACTTTGTTTTACTTTTGCTTAGGTTTCAGTGTTTCTATTATTATTTCATTATTAAGCTTTCTGCAGAACTGTGACGTTCCTCTTCATGTGTTTATATACCTTACATCATCCATCATCCAGGTTAATTTTGTTTTCTTGGGGGTATCACTCCTGGAATTCCTAACTCCTTAATTCTAATCTGGCTTCATTACTTTTCAAGCCTGCTGCATTGTCATCCTTGGGTTTCTCTTCACTGTCATTTTTGAAATTCCATTGTGTTGCGGTCCTGTTTTCTGGTTCTTACACCTTCTTTTTTCTTTAGTTTGAAAGTGAAAGTTGCTCAGTTGTGTCCAGCTCTTTGCGATGCCATGGACTACGATGCCATGGACTACACAGTCCATGGAATTCTTCAGGCCAGAATACTGTAGTGGTAGCTGTTCCCTTCTCCACGGGATCTTCCTAACCCAGGGATTGAACGCAGGTCTCCAGCATTGTAGGCAGATTCTTTACCATCTGAATCACCAGCAAAGACCAAGAATCCTGGAGTAGGTAGCCTATCTCTTCTCCAGAGGATCTTTCCTACCCAGGAATCGAACCAGGGTCTCCTGCCTTGCAGGCAGATTGTTTACCAGCTGAGCTATCAGGGAATTTTTTTTCTTAGTTTACTCTCTAATTTTAATGAAGAACTTAGTTTACTTATTAATTTTAATGGACACTGCAGAAGCTGCCTGAAATAAGGTGCATGAGGTAATTGTTTTTAGAATTCACATGTCAAAAAATATTGTTTCACCTTCACTCTTGATTAATAGTTTAGCTATGACTTAATTCTACATTGGAATTTTTTCCTTTGATTTTTGAAGGTGTTTAGCCACCGTCTTCCAGCACAAAACTAAAGTCATTCTACTTCCTGATCCTCTCTATGTATTGTTTTCTTCCTCTGTCGATGTTCTTAGGATCTTCTAAATACCTCTGGTGTCCTGAAATAAATTAACGTAGGCTTAAAAATTTTTTTCCTTCATATATGTAGTATCTCTCAGCTTTCAATTCATGTGCAATTGCCAAGTCTCATTAGTGCGCATATCTGTTCCTGGTGGTCCTGAGTCAGAAGCCTGCATGGCTAGCTCTCTCCACATGGTGAGCTCCTGTCCTCTGCTGGGCTGGGCAAGGGGTGCTGAGTGGATTGCAGGGCAAGAGGAGAAATCATATAATACCATCTTTTTGTTTTCACCTGAGCCTTCATCCTGGCATTTGGAGGTTCCTGAGCCTTTCTGGGCCCTTGATTCCATCATCCCAATCCCTGTTTTCAAGCAATCTGCTTTCAACTTTCAGCCCTAAGTCTGTATCGTGGATCTCTTTGCTTTCCACTTTGGAAATTTTTGATCTCTCTCATCTGCTTTCATCTCTTGAGTTCTCCCTTGTGGGTTTCTTTCTTCCTTTTTTTCTAATTCTAGCTGTCCTTTTAGTAGGGAAAATAAAGAAAAGAAAATGCTCAATTCTCCATGTTCACTGGAAGCTATGGCACATCGCTTTACAGTATACCTTGGAGATACTAATCCACACCCAACATAAAACTTCTCCTTCTCTCTAAGGACAGTGCCACTGATGGATGGGTCCATCCACATTTATTTCATCCATGCCCTCTTGATTTAAGTGCAATGGCCAGGTCAAAGTGTCTTTCCCTTCCGGAAGCAGGCTTCCAGTCCTTCCCCTGTTCTCTTCTGTTCTTCACAGCTCCTGGCAGCTATTCCATACCCTCAGCTGCTCCCCAGAGTGTGGTCTTCCTAATCTGGAGACTCACCTTGGTTTGAAGCAGCAAAGAGCTCTCCCTGGTATCACCCCACCCATCTTAGCAATTTTGTCCCCACTTCATGCTTGTCCTGCTCCACCTCAGTTGAAAGTCTCCATGATGGTGAAACACAAAGAGAGTAGACACTCAGCCATTGCACCTCCTCTCTGCCTTCCTGAAGCTTTGGCATCCCCATCCCTCCTCCAGCACTGACCCGTCCTGTTCTTCTAGAGCCCAAGGGGTGGGAGTCTCATGGGCAGAGGCTGCCCGAGGGGCAGGCACCAGGACCTCATGCTTAGGCATGGCACTGACAAAAGACAGGGTTGGCTAGAGATGGCTTTGAGAGGAGTTGGTTAGAGAAGTTGGGCTGAAGTGGAGCCTTTGCTGGCCTCACTCACTGGGACCTGCCTCCCCAGTACAAAAAAATGAGGTGAGGCCCCTCCCATGAGGGGCTCACTTTCAATAGGGGTGGAGAGAGGTGTGAAACAGGAGGTAGCAGGGGCTGTCTCATGGCCTGTGTGGGCAGTTCAGAAAGGAGGAGTCCCTACCAGAACATCTTTCTCAAAGGCCAATAGAGAACACATGAAGATGGAAGGGCTTCCCTCCCATTCTCCTCTCTCTTGACTGACTTCCCCACCTCAACTCCCACCACCACATTGGTGGTGGAGATGGGGCACATGTGAGGGACCCTAGAGATCTAGAGAAGATCATCTGAGAATCCTTGAACTTTCTAGATGGAAAGAGGAGCAGGCATGGTCATGCTGAAGTAGAGAGAGAATAAATTACTGCAGAACAATCCTGTCTTTCCTGTTAACATTTTAGACATGTCCACGCTTTGCCCACCATTTCTACAGCTAGAAATCTCTCCTATGGATTTACTTTCACTTTTTGAATAAGCTTTGCTTTTGTTCAGTTGCTAAGTCATGTCCAACTCTTTGCAATCCTAGGAACTGCAGCATGCCAGGCTTCCCAGTCCTCTACTCTCCTGGAGTTTGCTCAAGTTAATGTCCATTGAGTTGGTGATGCTATCTAACCATCTTATCCTCTGTCACCCTCTTCTCCTTTTGCCTTCTATCTGTCCCAGCATCAGGGTCTTTTCCAATGAGTTGGCTCTTTGCCTCAGGTGGCCAAAATATTGGCACTTCTGCATCAGTCCTTCCAATGAATATTCAGGGTTGATTTCCTTTAGAATTGACTGGTTTGATCTCCTTGCTGTCTAAGGGATTCTCAAGAGTCTTCTCCAGCACCTCAATTCAAAAGCAGGTTGGCTCTTCACATCAGGTGGCCAAAGTATTGGAGCTTCAACATCAGTGCTTCCAATGAATATTCAGGGTTGATTTCCTTTAGGATTAACTGGTTTGATCTCTTTGCAGTCCAAGGGACTCTCAAGAGCCTTCTGCAACACCACAGTTCAAAAGCTTATCAATTGAATAACTATTTTTACATAAATGTTTACTATAGCATTATTGATAGAACTAAAAGTCATAAACAACTTAAGTGTGCGTTATGGGGGGAGGTTGTAAGATGAGTGATATTTCCTCTATAGGAAAGAATGTTCCACAGTCATTATAAAGAATGAGACAGATCTCTATGTGCTTTATGTAAAGATCAGTTCAGTTCAGTTCAGTTCAGTCACTTAGTCATGTTCAACTCTTTGCAACCCCATGAATCGCAGCATGCTAGGCCTCCCTGTCCATCACAAACTCCCGGAATTTACTCAAACTCATGCCCATTGAGTCGGTGATGCCATCCAGCCATCTCATCCTCTGTCGTCCCCTTCAAAGATAGCCAACGTGAAAACTTAAAAAGAAAAAAGATCCAGAACAGTATAATGCTACACTACAAATTGGTAAATGCTGCAGTGTGAATGGGATAAAATTTTTGAAGGATATTTATGTATATCTATCTATGAAAATTTTTTCTGGAAGCCTTGATGAGAAACCAACTGTGAACAAGAGTTAACATCAGGGAGAAGGCCTGGGAAGGAGGGAGATGCTTACTTTTCTTTTAGAACATTTATGCTATTTGAATTTTCTGGCCATGCTCACATATTACTTTTCAATTTTTATTTCATTTTTATGCAAGTGTTCCTTTTTTAGAAACTATCAATGAGATGTATAAGTAGTAGGATATAGAGTTTTGTTATATTTTTATTTCTAAAATGAGCAAACACTCGTTTTAAAAGGAAAGCGATGTAATCCAGTGACTGTTCCTGGTCACCATCACTCCTGTGCCCTGGATATCCATCAGCCCCCGCCCTGTGCCAGGAGAGTCTCATGCTTGTGGCAGAATTGTTGTGCTGCCTGGGACCCTGTGTGGGAAGTGCAGCTTCCAGGCTGGGTGTTGTCTGGGGAGGGTGAGTCCAGCAGAGACAAAGAGGCAAGAGGGTTCTGTGGGTCTCAGGGCAGTCTCCTCACTCCAACCTCCCTTCACCCCACCAACAATGCCCTAGAGACCCCCTTTCCTTCTCTAACAAGTTTTTCATGAGCACCCGGCCCAGGCTGAGTGGTCTCACATCTCTCAAGCTGTCTACTCCCTCTGTGGTCCCATGAGGGATCCTCGTGTTGGCTGTCTTGGCCCGGAGCCTTCCTCTCTGGGTATCACCAGCATAAGAACAGGGGGTGGACTGCCCACTGTTGCACCCACTGTGCTGGGAGGTAGTGAAGCAAAGCTTGGGAAGGAAAGGAGGACTAAGAGAGACTCAGCGGGGCATCAGCTTTACCCAGCTAGAGGACCACCTAGCTTACATGCGCTGCAGACCTGTTTCCTAAGTCCTCTCCTCCTTGTCCTCATCATCCCAGGGAGGCCCTGTCCACCTCTGCGGTTCTATGAAGAAACCTTGCCATGGATTCCACAGCAACCTACAGCCTGACATCTCACTCCACTGTAGTCGGGCCCTGGGAATCATGACCCTGGACCCTCCAGGACTGGGGTCTGTCTCTGCCTGTCTGCTACCAGCCTCGTCTCCAGGACTCTGTAGCTCTGAGCAGGGACCACATTCAGGGACCAGAGTAAGGCTGTACCAGGGTAAGATTTCAGCTCCAAGGGGAGGGAAAGGGGGCACCCTCTACTCACCACAGGATTTCATTCCTGGTCAAGAAGGTCAAGGCCTGCAACAAACCAGACAGGTGACTTGCCCACTCCATCCAGCCCTGCCCTGACACTGGGGAGTAGGCAACTTCAGGGGTTGGGAGGAAAAGCTGAAGCTCTCATTGAACAACCAGGGAATGGAGGCTCCCAGCCCTCAGCAGCAAATGCCCAAGGTGGTGGCAGAGGAGGAAACAGTGCCCCATCTCTGATGGCCTTGGGAGGGAGCACAGTGGTACAGGCCTGCAGAAAGGATCAGAGACAAGGCGAAAACCCTGGGTTCTGGAGCAGGAAACAAATGGGGAGGGGCCCTCTGAGGGCCAGTCTGGGTCACATGGATGTAGGTTTAGTGAAGGCAGGGACCACAGTGAGAGTTTGCCCACCCCTCCCACCTGCCTCGGGAAGCTCCCACCACTGCCCAGAATCTCCTGCCTGATCTACCCACCTGGTATTCTTCCAAATCCTCCCAGTGCATCTGGTACCTCAGACATTGCCCCATGCCAACCCCACCCTTCTCTCTGCCAGCAGCAGAACCTCAGCCCCAAGGGCTCACCAGCTGTGCACTAAGTAATCGGTTGCCATGGCAACCTGCATTCCGCCTTCTGCCCATTCTACCTGAGTCCCTGAGTGAGCAAAGAAATAGATTCTTTTGGTTCCAGAGGCTAATGGACATCATCCCCAAAACAGCGAACAGAAAGGCAGCCCAGTAGCAGGTTCAAAAGTCATGGGCCAACCTTCCAGACCTGCCAAAGGCTGACAAGACATGCGTCCCTAGGCAAGCCACTCAACCTCTCTGTATCTCAGTTTCCTCATCTGAAAACTGAGGATGATGGTCATGGGATTACAGTGAGGATTATTTGAGTCAATACGGGAAACTGTCTTGTACATAATAAGCTTTCGATAAGTGTTAGCTTATAGTGTTAGCTATTAGAACCACGGCCCAAGGACTATGCCAGGTGCAGGAACACAGAGATGAGTAAGCATAGACTCTGACATCAAGAGTCACCCAAAGAGCACAGTAAAGGGCATTCCACCCCATCCATCCTCTCTTTGAAGAAGCCAGGGGCACAATCAAATCAGGATGATATGACGAGGGTCTATTAAAGGGACCTTCTCCAAAGAGAAGGTCAGGGTGTGTGGAAACCACCCAGGATCGCACAGAATCCAAGCTAGTAACCACAGAGCCACTACCAGTCCTGGCCCAAAACACATGGAATCAGTACCCCTGTATCACCCCCTCCACTTCCTTCGATCTCCCGTGGGGATAGAGAGCAGAGTGGAAAGTGAATCTAGAAAGATGAAGTCTAGCACAGACCTCAGTATTGCTGTCCAGGAGGATCTTTCCGAAGCCATCCCCTCCTGTCTCAGTGCTGTCCAGTCTCGGTGTCAGCTTCCTGGTCCTTGTACCCATGTCATTCCACACACTTTCCCAGGTAAACAGTTCAGAAGCTTTCTCATGGAGCTAGTTTATGTCTCTGGAAATGGGACTGCTCATTCTTTGTCATCTGCCCTCCCTGGAGATGGAGACTGGCAGAAGAAACCCAGGAACCTTCAGTCCTTATTTACTAGACAAACACAAGTGAAGTACCTACAGGATGCCAGGTGCTCAGCTTGACCCTGGAAGAGACGGGTGAATGTGGTCTCAGCCTTCAAGGAATGGATATTTGCCACACACACAGACCTACACACACACACACACACACACACACACACACACACACCATGGGAGATTGGGTAGATGTCATCAGAGAGGTAATATGAAATATGAAAATTTAGAAGAGGAGAACCCTAGGCAGGAAATCTTCATGTAGGTGGTGGCATTTAGGTGGTTGTTACAATGTCACGGTTAATGTGGGCTGTTTGCTTCACTTCTTGCTGCATCCCCTTGGGCAAGTCATAAAACTACTCTGAGCCTCAGTTCCCCCATCTGTAAAGTGGGAATAATAAATCTCTACTTTACAGTATTATTGCAAGGCTAAAATCAAATGATAGACATATAAACCTCTAATTTAGAAAGGTACCTGACACAATAAATTCTCATTAAAGGGGAAACAATATTATTACTTTTTAAATTTGGGCCTGAAAGAAAGGGTAGGGTATGAGCAGACACAGTCAGTAATCACATCTTATCTTCTGGTAAACTGTCTGAGCTTCTATTCTCATTTTTTGAGCAGCTTCTTTCACTAGTGTGTGTCCATAGTGACTGTCCCTTGTCGTCCTCACAGAGTCCTGGGGAAGATGGAAGTTGGCGAGGTTCTGTGATGCTGTGGGGTCACTTGGCTGGCCAGGGGCCAAAGGAGGATCTGAAGCCTGGATTGAGGTTGCAGGCCTGTGGGTCTCCCCAGTTCTGACTGGGAGCCAGGGGAGCTGCTGGGCCGTACCCCAGAAGGCTGCTTCCTTCCCAAGTCTCTCTCAGCCCTCCTGTCCTTGGAGGTGCAAGTGGCAGCAGGCACTAGCATGTGCCTTTAATATCTGGTTGGTACACATTACAAGGAGAGCAAAAACATACTGGAGGGAATTCCCTGGTGGTCCAGTGGTTAGGACTCTGCACTTTCACTGCAGGAGGAACTGATCGGGGAACTAAGATCCCACAAGCTCCACAGTGTGGCTTACTTACTCAACTCTTTGTTGAGCCAGGCAATGAGACAGAATGATTAAACCAGACAGACAAGGCCCTACCTTGATGGAATCAGGGGCCCATAGGGAAACTAACAATCCCTTTGATTGTGATATGGCTATGAGAGAAATAAAGCAAGAATGAAGGGTGGGCAGGAGAGGCTTCCTGAGGAGGGGCCGTCTGAGCGGAGACCTGAGCCACAGGGCGAGGGAACCAGGCTAAGTCTGGGGAGTTTTCCAGACCCAGAAAGCAAAGACATCCAGCTAGAATTTAATGACACTGGCTTTCCTTACATTTATTTATACTGTTTCCTCCACTTTGAAAAAGATGCAGGCTTCCCCAGTGACTCAGACAGTAAAGAATCTGTCTGCAATGCAGGAGACCTGGGTTCAATCCCTGGGGTGGGAAGATCCCTTGGAGAAGGGAATGGCAACCCTCCAGTATTCTTGCCTGGAGAATTCCAAGGACAAAGGAGCCTGGTGGGCTACAGTCCATTGGGTCCCAGAGAGTCAGACATGACTGAGCGACTAACACTCACTTGCCATATATAACTGTGATATGTTGCCTTTACAAATATTACCTGGTGAAAAGAAATAGGAGACAACCAAAGCAAAATATTAAGTAAATAATTAGACAGGTGGTGAAGAAATATGCCAGAAATCACAAAAATGTCTCTGCCTCACTTCTCACACAGGTAACCAAGGTTTGAGAACTCTGCTACCTTTCTCCTTTAGTTTTCATGCCCTCACATGATGCTTTCCCAACTCCTGCCCACTCCACCCCTCCCTACACACAGGCTCTCAACCTAGAAAGGGCTTTCACTGGTTCCTACAATTAACAACAGTAACCATAAGAATGTCACCTTACATTTGCATTACATCACTTTGTAATTCCAAAATGCTTTTCTACATGCCACCTCATCTGCTCCAGAGATAAAAGCCCATGCTCCTTCAAAAAGAAAGAAAGAAAAATTCCCATGCAATTCTGCCTCAGTACACTAATCAACCAGCATCCTTACCTCCCTCAAGCCAGTTAAATCTCTCAAACTGCTCTTTGGCAGGGATTCTGAAAAGGATGTAAATGAACAGATTTGTGAAAGTGTTGAACTCAATATGCCAGCAAATTTGGAAAACTCAGCAGTGGTCACAGGACTGGAAAAGGTGTTTTCATTCCAATCCCAAAGAAAGGCAATGCCAAAGAATGCTCAAACTACCCCACAATTGCACTCATCTCACATGCTAGTAAAGCAATGCTCAAAATTCTCTAAGCCAGGCTTCAACAGTACGTGAACCATGAACTTACAGATGTTCGAACTGGATTTAGAAAAGGCAAAGGAACCAGAGATCAAATTGCCAACATTCGTTGGATCATCAAAAAAGCAAGAGAGTTCCAGAAAAACACCTATTTCTGCTTTATTGACTAAGCCAAAGTCTTTGTGTGGACCACAACAAACTCTGGAAAATTCTTCAACAGATGGGAATACCAGACCTCTTGAGAAATCTGTATGCAGGTCAGGAAGCAACAGTTAGAACCGGACATGGAACAACAGACTGGTTCCAAATGAGGAAAGGAGTATATCAAGGCTATATATTGTCACCCTGCTTATTTAACTTATATGCAGAGTACATCAAGAGAAACGCTGGGCTGGATGAAGCACAAGCTGGAATCAAGATTGCCGAGAGAAATATCAATAACCTCAGATATGCAGATGACACCACCTTTATGGCAGAAAGTGAAGACGAACTAAAGAGCCTCTTGATGAAGGTGATAGCAGATAGTGAAAAAGTTGGCTTAAAACTCAACATTCAGAAAACTAAGATCATGGCATCCAGTCCCATCACTTCATGGCAAATAGATGGGGAAACAGTGGAAACAGTGGCTGACTTTATTTTTTGGGGCTCCAAAATCACTGCAGATGGTGACTGCAGTCATGAAATTAAAAGACACTTGCTCCTTGGGAGGAAAGTCGTGACCAACTTAGACAGCATATTAAAAAGCAGAGACATTACTTTGCCAGCAAAGGTTCATCTAGTCAAGGCTATGGTTTTTCCAGTAGTCATGTATGGATGTGAGAGTTGGACTGTGAAGAAAGCTGAGTGCCGAAAAATTGATGCTTTTGAACTGTGGTGTTGGAGAAGACTCTTGAGAGTCCCTTGGACTGCAAGGAGATTGAACCAGTCCATCCTAAAGGAAATCAGACCTGAATATTCATTGGAAGGACTGATACTGAAGCTGAAACTCCAATATTTTGGCCACCAGATGCAAAGAAATGACTCATTTGAAAAGACCCTGACACTGGGAAAGGTTGAATGCAGGAAGAGAAGAGGATGACAGAGGATGAGATGGTTGGATGGCATCACCGACTCAATGGACATGAGTTTGAGTAAACTCCAGGAGTTGGCAATGGACAGGGAGACCTGGCGTGCTGCAGTCCATTGGGTCGCAAAGAGTCAGACACGACTGAGCGACTGAACTGAACAGAGAACAGGCCCAGTCCTGCCCTGACCGTTCTGCATGCTTCGCCTCCAGGGTCCCTCCCTGCAGGAATCCTCTGTGTGGGATAAAAAGCATTCTTTGAAGGTTTCTGTCACCTGCCAATGAACTCCACCAACTGTTAAAATGGTCACCCCTACTCCAACTTTGATTTAGATGTCTCTTCAAATTCAAAAAGGACTGAGAAGGGACTTGTATCGAGAATACACAAAGAAAGCTAACAGCTCAACAATAAAATACAAAAAGCCCAACTAAAAAAATGCACAAAAGATTTGCATAGACATTTCTCCAAAGAAGAAATATGTGAATGGCCAAGGAGCACATGAAAAGGTGCTCACCATCATCAGCCACGAGGGAGATGCAAATCAAAACCACAGTGAGGTACCCCCGCACACCCACTAGGATGGTGAGGATGTGGAGAAATTGGAGACCTCCTACACTGCTAGTGGGACTGTG